GGACCTCCTCTGGTCTTGGTACCCTCATCTGACGGCCATTCCTTGTACCGTGGAGCTTCACACTTGGGGCAGGCATCCAAGTCTTTGTATTCTTCTTCACGATACAATATGCAATCATTGGAACACGTGTGGATTTTTTCAACCTCGAGTCCAATGGGGCAGATCATTTGCTTGGCTAGGTATGTCTTTTCTGGCAACTCGTTTTTTTTCTAGGAGCATTTTCCTTATTATACCTAACAACTGATCAAAGCCTTTATTGCTCAATCCATTTGTCGATTTGAACTCTAACAGCATGATGTCGGCTTCCAATTTGCTCATTGGACAATTCTTATACAATGGTGTTTTGCCATCTTGTCTCATTTTCTCTAACTTTCTCAGCTGTCTTTCACTAAGACATCTGGTCTCTAGATTATGTAGCAGCTGAGAAATGCCATCGTTATCCTCGTTGTCGTCAGCTAGCGTGTTCCTAAACACATCATTAACTGTGGCCATAGGCTCTATGTTGACACCGGGTTCCTCGTCAGCATCATGGATGGCTACGTCAGGCATGGCCACATCAGGCATGGCCACATCATCATCGTTTTCCTACAGAACATTCACACCAACCTCACTATGCAGAGTCCATATTGTATAGTTTAGCATGAACACCTGGTAATCAAGTGCATTCGTATAGACTCAATTTGAGCCCATTGCCTTTGATTCATGCAATCTTTGCATGGGCAGAAGACAGGGTTTCCATTCCCAGCATGGGCTTTGGCATCGGTGAGAAACTTGCCGACGCCAACCATGTACCGCTTGTCCGTTCGGGACCCATACATCCACTCTCGATCCATCTCCGCACAACAAAATATTGAGACAGTAATTACAGAGAAATTAATAACAAGTGGAGCTTCATGAACAACAATTGTTGCTCGAAACAACAATTTATTCTAAACTTATTTAATTTAGTCACCCCATTTTTGGAAAACATTATTATACACTAATTATTGGAATATTGAAATTGGTAGCCTCAGCCATATAAATTGAAAATAGTAGCACCATTAAAAAACAATTATTTCACAATAATAAAAAACAATTATTCTACTCCATGCTACATAAAAATAGAAACACTAATTAAAAAAACACTAAAATTAGAGATATGATCATGAACAACAAAATGTGTTGGTAGGTGGCACATGGATTAATTTGCTCATCAAAATTATAAAAGAATCTACTCTACTCCTATCAAGAACTAATTATAGCATAACATACTAACAATGATCTTGACCACCATGTAATTAGCTAGGAATTTAAATGTGTTCAAAGACACCAACTTTTGGATGATGGATTCACCACAATTTGCTTGCAAGCCTTGCAGAAAGTCTAATTGGAAAAGTGCTCTCTAGAATGGAGAAAGAATTAGAATGAGAATCAAGCAATGTAGCCATCAAAACAACGCTAATTAAGCAACAAAATCAAAGGAGTGGATGCTTGTTACTAACCTTAAAGCAAGAAGATCAAGCCATTCTTCCAAATCCAAGAGCTAGCTTCATGGTCAAGAGTAGCCGCAACAATGGAGGGAGCGGCCCATACGTGCGCCTCTGTGCTCGGGATGGATGAGAGGAGGAAGGAGAGGACGGCGCTAGCTTTTTGTAATGTGATGTTATCACCGTCGGTTCTTGTCTAGAACCAACAGTGATAGCCCAACATCACTGACGGTTCTTGACTAGAACCGGCAGTGATAAGTAGATGTCAAGCCACTACTGGTGCAAGCCACAGACCGACAGTGATGTGGACCTTCACTGCCGGTTTTAGCCTAGCCCCAATCATTTTTTGATTTTCAAGCTCAAAACCGACAGTGAAGGTACATCACTGCCGGTTCAACCTAATCCGGCAGTTATGAGGCCGCAGTGATGTCTAGATATGTAGTAGTGGAATGAGACCCATGATGGTCTAAGCTATGTATCAACCTACAATCCAACTATGTACAGATAACTTGACACGGGCAACTGGTCTATCGACCTGTATTCTATTGTACTATGAAGTGATATAGATAAAGCCTCTAAAACACCACCATCGTCTTACAAAACAAGGTGACGAAATGGTACATCTAAGCATCTTATATGTCTCCAAAGTTTGCCTGTTCTTCGCCAACCGGTCATTTAGTAACATGAGTCAAGGAAGCAGCCGGAAACATGGAACATGGCCATGTTCCTCGTTCTGAGAACGTCGTTCTGGGAACGTGGACGTTCCCGATTCGGGAACATTTACATTCCCACGTTATAAAATATCATCCAAAGTTCTTATTCCCGTTCCACGTCCCTGTTCCCTCGTGGGAACATGGCTTCTAAGAACATGACCACATAGCAATAAAAGTGACCAAAACAACTGAATAGACGACCGTCATATGATTCTTCTTTCCACAAAGCATCATCAAACTAGAACCTCCCTTCTCCTAAAATACACACTGGTCAGCTGCACAGCCAAAGAGGAAGACAAGACCTCCATCATGTCTAAGCAGGGCTAAAATGAGGCTACACCCGCTAAACTATACATTGTTGTGAACTCATGGTGGAGATATGCCTATGTGCGTGTGACGAATGAATGGCACAGGAGTTCGAGGTTTACCAGTTGAGTCATATTTCAAATGTGCTTGATTATGCTAATGGCTAATGGGATGTGTCATGTTGAGTTATGCCGTGTGTGTTGTGCAACATGTCTCTTAGCTTGTGATTGTGCAGGTGTTGGGTGTGCTAAAACGGTTGATGACAATGGAGAAGGTTAGATGCGGAGTCTAGGCATGATGGACTGAGAGCAGTGAAGGGTAGATGAGAAGGCTTGGACCAAGGGACCAAAGGGTGGACGAGACGTGACATGCAGGCGGATGCGCCCGAGCGGCACGGCTTGCTTGTCCGGGATAACCCCATAGAATGGCGCTTTGCTCTGGAGGAGGCTGCTCTGGGGTATCTTCATCTTGTCGAGGGTCTCGGCGTAGAGGATGTTGAGGCTGCTGCCGTCATCCATGAGCACCCTAGACAGGCGCGTGGTGCCCACAATCGGGTTGACCACGAGCAGGTAGCTCCCGGCCCCTGGGTGAGGGACGTGGTCGGGATGGTCATCCCGATCAAAGGTGATGGCCATTTCCGAAGAACGAAGCCACGTCTGGGCAACAATGGTGTCAATGACATTCACCTCTTGCTCGTAGGCTTGGGAGCCTATGAGGATCATCAGGCACTGCTCAGCCTTGAGGAACTCGATTTCCTCCTCTTGTTCGTCATCGGTCTCCACGTCGACCTCGTGGGCAGGCTTCTATCCTTGCCCATTAGGTCAAGGGTTCCTCGGATGTAGCTCCTTATCGTCCCACAGTCTTTGAGGAGGGCCTGGCCTACCCACCGTGGAACTGGCAGGGCCCCTCGAGCACCTTCTCGAAGTGCTCGAGGCGTTGGCCCCCCTGGGCAGGGGTCGGGTGGCGCGGTCGGCTAGGCCACCATCTCCTCCTCACGATGCTTCTTGTCCTTCTTCTTATCGCGGTGACGACCAGCCACGTTGGCCTCATCATTGCTATTCCCACTGCTGTGGTGGGCGTTGGCCTTGCCTCTGCCATTGAAGTTGGACAAGACGAACTCTTCTTATGTGGCGTACTTGGTGGCAACTTCCAGCAGCTCCCATGTCGTTCGCTGGGCCTCACACCCGAGCGCACGGATGAGCGCCTCGCAGGTGATGCCACAGGTGAAGGTATTGATGACAGCCGTGTTCGTGACATTGGGGGGTTCGTTGTGCTTCTTGGAGAAGCGCTGAATGTACTCCTAGAGGGTCTTGCCCGACCTCCGCCTGCAATTGCGCAAATCCCAAGAGTTACGAGGTTGAGTGTAGGTACCTTGGAAGTGCCTGATGAAGGTCGAGTGGAGGTCGGCCCAGCTCCGGACTCGAGCCATGCCCTCGCTAAGCTTGACTGAAGCAGGAACAAGTACTGGACCACGAAGTCATCATCTGACCCCACAGCCCTCATCACGAACTGGTAGTCCTCGAGCCCGTGGTTGTGGTTGGTCTCCCCGTCATACTTGCCGATGTGGGTCGGCGGTCAGAAGCGCTTGGGGTAGGAAGCCGCCTGGGTTTTGGCCCTGAACGCCTGGGGGCCGAATCGGTCTTGGCTCAGGCTCCCCTCCCATTGGCTGAGGCTTGGCGACTTGGAAATATAACCTTTTTGTTAAAAAGAAAATAAAGACAAGCTAAAATTATGAGGTTGTTGCTTCTTGATTGATTTCTTTCTATTCTTGCTATGATTTTTAAATATATAGGCATCTCAGCCACTTATTTGTCCCTGCTTTCATGCATGAGTTCATGGTTGAGTATATCCATGCTCCTTGCTTTATATCCTCTAGCTAGAGGTTGTTTGTCATTAACCATATTTGTTTTTGTTATCTATTGACGGTTTCTTTGTTAAAGGAGTATCCAACAACTTTCTGGTACTTCTGGATATTACTTGTACTGCTGGATATTACTTTCTGGTACTTGTAGATATTACTTGTGCACTATGGATGACAACTCACATGATAAAGTGGGTGAGAGTATGTTACTACCTGGATTCGTGCTATGGACCGGAGAGGTGCATGTTTTTTTTGTGATCTCAGAGAGGTGCATGCTGAATACATGGTTTGAGGTGAAGCCGATTTTCGTGCAGGCTATAAACACTCCTTAAAGTATCTTTTTTCTTACTCAAAACTGCTAGAATGGATGTCTGTTTGTGGTGTAAAGGTGCACTTTTCCGTCATTGGAGCTGGCCATTAAAGAAAAACAATACTCAACGTTTGCTGGCTTCCTTAAAATAATGTTCATAAATCTGAAGTCAAAAAAACTTCACTCGGGCGCAACAAGGAAATATATAGAGATATGATTTCAATCAAGAAAAGATATACATTATTTAACTTCCCTTACATATATAGAGATAAGCCTGGTACAAAACACTTGTCCCTACATCTCTATTCTTGCTTCCTTCCCATCACCACAATCCTTCTAGCTAGTTATGCCTCCTTGCTGGTACTTTCACCGGAGATGATGTCATCAACAAGATATGATTCGGGATCAAATCCCTCAAGTTCTGGCTTATCACAAGGAACAGGAACAATACCAACAGTGGAGGTAGTGTCTGGCAAAGGTGATCGGTCTTCATCCATCATGACGTCCTCCCAAAACTCCATCAGTAGGGAATCGTCAGCCATATCAGTTTCATCCCAATTGATATGTCCGTTATTACTCCCATTCAGATTTGTAGTAGAAACGACTTCTGTGTCTAACCTTCCACGCATAACATTTAGATGATGGGCAACAATACTATTGCTTATTTCTGGTTGTCCTTGCAGTTCTCCATCGTGAACACTGATAGTAGCTTTGGGATCAATGCCATCGTTGGCATTGGCAATATGAGAAACATGTGTGGTATTTCCAGTATGCGCAACCAACAGTTTTGTATGATTCAACTCAGTGATTCCAGTAGAAATAGGGCCATTACTATTAGCAACTAGTGGAATGGATGATAATTCCCATGCAACAGGAGGAACAAAAGGGTAATGGAATGTCACATCTCCATCTTGAGAGACAACATTATTTTTGCTAGCACTTTCAACATAATATGTATCCATCGAAGGAGTTGTGCTCATGTAGCCTTCATTTGGGATATTAGGCAAATGATGTATTGGTCCACCCAGAACTGGTGTCTGTGTGATTGTGGTTGCCATCAAGGGGCATGCTTCTTGTGGTTGGAACCGCAAGGGTAGGGGCACATGGTAATCATTTGTTGGTGGCAAAGGAGGAGGAAGAGCAAAGGGGGGATACCTTGCAGACTGAGAAATAAATTGTGGCATTGGGTACTTATGAGGACGACGATGACCGGATGTCTGTGGTTGATCTGTCAACCTATTGTGATTACGCTTCTTAATAGACTTTGGATGATGGGCTGAGTTGTGTTCTCCCTGATGTTTGTATAGAACATCATTCAGAAAATCATATGACTCCATGGAGACAATAGCCTCAGCAATATCAGAGTCTAGTATGATATCCCGATGGTGGGAATTGGCACACATCCTAGAGCGAAGTGAAAGTTCCTGCACAAATATCTCACATGCCTTTGTGACGAAGGATGGCATGTCGAATGTCATCATCATTTTACCCTTCTCGGCACATAGGACCTTTTTTAGACAGGTCATGGGAATCACACGCTTGCTGAAGTCCTCAATTGCCTCAATTTCATCTTGTTTCTTCCTCCAAAATTCATCTATCGTTTGTTGCTCAGATGATGGCATGGACATCCTTTGTGGTGTAGAAATATTATCATCAGGATGGTCCATTTCTTTCTTCTGTGGCCGTGATAGATGCAACTAGATATGAAACAATTATATAGTTATTTCTTACAATTGATGTTTTAATGCAGAAATTACTATTAATTTAACAAACAACTTCTATTATTCTGCTGTAAATGAAAAAATGAGATAAATTTGCAAAGACAACATGCTTTCGCAAAGTGAAGGATATAAGATACAAGATACAAGAAACAAGACTTCAAAAACAACAAGATAGATGTTCTACCTTACTAGATTAGAACTCTGAAAGCATTGAATGTGATACTTTGATAGCACTATTAGTTGTTTCTGAGGATGGTACCATATGTACAGTGGTTTTTATAGGAAACCAAAGGATCACCTTTTTGTTGGAAGAAAATAAAGACACGCTAAAATTATGAGGTTGTTGCTTCTTGATTGATTTCTTTCTATTCTTGTTATTATTTTTAAATATATAAGCATCTTTGCCACTTATTTGTCCCTGCTTTCACGCATGAGTTCATGGTTGAGTATATCCATGCTCCTTGCTTTATATCCTCTAGCTAGAGGTTATTTGTCATTAACCATTTTTTTTTTTGTTATCTATTGACGGTTGCTTTGTTATGGGAGTATCCAACAACTTTCTGGTACTTGTAGATATTACTTTCTGGTACTTGTAGATATTACTTGTGCACTATGGATGACAACTCACATGATAAAGTGGGTGAGAGTATGTTACTACCTGGATTCGTGCTATGGACCGGAGAGGTGCATGTTGAATACATGGTTCGAGGTGAAGCCGATTTTCGTGCAAGCTATAAACACTCCTTAAATTATCTTTTTCTTACTCGAAACTGCCACAATGGATGTCTGTTTGTGGTGTAAAGGTGCACTTTTCTGTCATTGGTCTCAGCCTGTTCGGCAGGTCGTAAACGATCATGAATTATTTACTGCTGGCTGGTTTGGTGTGAGAGAAAAATACTGTTCCAGCTTATAATCCACGATCGTAGCGAACAGGCTCTTATCTTTTCTAGCCAATTGAGGTGTAAAGGTATCTTTTGAAAGGTTACCTTTTTTTATTGGCACTACTACACTAAATTTCTTCCTATAGTTTAATGTGCACCAATGATAGAAAAGGTGCACTTTTATATCATTTATTTTATATCGTTTCTAATAATTTGAGATGTAAATCTATGTATCAATTGGTATACTGCTCGTGCTACCGCTACGACAACATTCGGGTGTACGCAAGTTAGAACTTAAATATATGCACTAAAACAAACAAATTATATTGCAGAAAAAAGGTAATATAATTGTTTCAGTCAAAAAACATTATCCATGCCAAAGATAACAGCAAAACAATCTTGACAATATCAAAAACATGATCTGAGTCAGTTCCGGTGATCCAACAATTAATTGATATCATTATCAAAAAAATAATTAATTGATATACCATAAAAAAATCAATCCACCAACAAGTAAAGAGTCACGTCCAACAAAAATATGGTTTTATTGTTTCATCGTTTGTGCTGCATGTTAAGATTAAATGCAAGTAAATAAAATTCAACAAGTTAGGACACAAATGAACATTAAGTAATAATAATGATATACATTAGCTATGTTTTTTCAAATATCATTCTGCAAGCGACCTGCACGGCGTCGTACCTGCCTGTGGCGGCCATCTTCACCTGTGTCACCACGTCCCGCCCTCCCGAAACCCGACCACGGTCACCGGCACCGACTTTCTCGTCTCTGGCACGAAGCAGGTCATCATCCCCACCTTGGTTGCCATCATGCCCACCCTAGCCTCATACGACGCATGCACCGCCACGGATGCTTGCCGCCGCCCGTTGAATGCCGTGCCGCTCCAGGGCACGGTGCCGCGGCGGTGCTACGGCTGCGGGAGGAGAGAGACCACCAGGGAAGGAGCGCACCGGCTCCTCGCTCTCGGTACGGCCCTGCTGCCTAGTCCACGGGTGACGTCCCTGCTCGGCCCTGTGTCGGCTCCTTGCTGGGGCTAGGCGACGGGATCCATGGCCGGTGAGCCCACCTACAGCCGGCGAGCCAGCGCCAAGGGCTCCCGCAGGCAGCAGCCCCGCGTGGCCTCTACGCCATCGGCTAGGCGGCTGGCTACTTCGCGCCATGGCCACGCGCAGCCTCCATGCGCATGTGGCCAGCGACCTAGCATCCGTGGCCTGCGGCCTCCGTGCCATGGCCAGCCCGGACTCTCCTCGCCGCTAGCCCGAGCTGGCGGCCCTGAGCACGCAGCCGGCGATGACATCCGCTCGTAGTGGCCCTGCACCTGCGGCTGCCGGGCCCTCGGCTGGCCTACTTCCCGAATCTGTATGCGAATGAGAGAGAGGGAAGGAAAAGGATGGAGGGGAGAAAGGAGAAAGAAAGGATGTGCGGCGCGTGACTCGGACTCAGGAGATGAAGCTACGTGCAAGGGGAAACAAAATCATCGCGCCCCTGCATATGTGTGCGGTAGGGTTGCGGGAGGGGGAGATCGGCTCATGGAGGTCGAGATCGATTCGGCGATGGCCGTTGGATATGGTTGAGTAAGGAGAGAGAATGGCTGATAAAAGATCATGTGCTTACATTTTTAGAATGTTGTATTTTTTAGTGCATAAGTTTGGATGGACGTTGTGAAGGTTATCTCTAGGGAGCAGGTAATTAGGGTGGGTTTAGGTAAATTTTAACTGGTGGTTTATTTATGGGTAGGGAAAAGTTTCTTCTTTTATTGAAACTACTCCATTGGATATATGCTTGCGATGTAAAGATATAAAAGGTAACCTTTTAAAACATACCTTTACACCCAAGGTGACTGTAAAAGATGAAATCAACAATAAAATAGTGCACCTTTGTGTTTTGCGGTATTGTTTTCATCTATTCATAGATGATGCATGCATTTCTCCTACATCATCTCCTTTGTGTTGTATTCATGGTTATTGTAACAATGATGTGATAGCTTTACATGTGTATTTTGGCTATATATGCTATAGAGACTACACCATGCATGATACAAACAAAATCAACAACTTTTGTGATGACCACCTATGCTTCGTAAACTAAAGACAACTTATCATCTTGTATAACCCAAAAAGTAAAGTTCAAAGTGCATGACTTTTTTGTGAAAGCTGTGGTTATCAATATGTTTCTTACTTCATGAAGGAAAAGTTAAAGCTCATGCTTCCTTACAAAATTTACCACTAAATAGAATCTTGTTTCAAATCAAAGAAAAATATTTCATGATGAAGATAGAGAACAAGAGATGAATTACCTATGAGGTATCACATGAAGAATCCATAGTCAATAGATACATAGTTATTGAAGAAGTAACTGAGTAGCTGCACCCTTTTCTATGAGTAAATCAGAATAAGTAATTGTAACATTTGGAATCATTTGCACCCTTTTCTATGAGTAAATTGGAATAGAAATTGCACCGGAAAGGGCTGTTTTCTACTACAAGGATAACACACATGAAGACACCACCACCACGCATAATTACAAGTGTGTCACAAATGAAACCATAATGCAATCGTATTGTGAACATGAGCCCCAGATTCAGTATCTTAGTGGGCGGACTTGTACCTCATTGTTCCACCATCCCCAGTAAGATATGCCTCACCCAATAGATATGAAGAAACGATAAATCTTAGCCAAACAAATTAGAAATATGGAGTAATCAAATAGTATAAACATAAATATACAAAAAGCTTACTTCTCCTAATCAATGTTAAAAATTACTATCAACTCCATACAGTCGATTCAGTGACTAACTATAACTAATTGCACCTAACTAAATAAGTATGAAAGGATGGCCTCCTAAGTCCCAAAGTCCTTTGCTCCTTCACTTTTTATAGAGTTCCCGCATGGGACTAACAAGACATTTTAGGTAGGCTGCCACTACACGTCAATTGTTATTTAGGCCCTGTTTGATCCCATGATAAAACTTTAGCCCTTCTTTTTGCCACGAGGATCCAAACAGGGGGGCTAAAAGTGAGCAAATGGCTAAAAACTAGGCTAAAATCTGTTGCTCCCAAAGAGGCCCTAAACTGGGCTAAACTCCCTCGAGGCGGGCGCTGGACGCCCCATACCCCTTGCCGCTCGCATGCATGGCTGTGCATGGATAATTAAATGAGGGCAAATCAGTCATCGTAGATTAGAGGACTAAAATTTAGCACATGGATCCAAACAGCCCAGCAGGACTACTAAACTTTAGGGACTAAACTTTAGTCCTTGGACTATTGATCCAAAAAACTTAGTCCTTTAGTATCCACGGTTTAATGGGCTAGGTTTTTTCTAACGTTTAACAATAATGAGTCCATCCTTGTGTCATAAAAATGAGTGCATCCCATTTTTGTCCATGCTCATTAGGTCCCATAAATGTTATGCTTGGACATAAGGAGTATGTTACCTATTGTTATCTAATTGGACATGGACCAAAACTATTTCTTTTTGTTTTCCCAATGTAATATGATCTTGGGAAGCATTAGACTGATCAAACAATACTACATCTTACTTCCTCCATCTGTCCATCCAAAAATGTTGGGTATATTTTGTTTCATTGGGAAGAGACTTTGGCAGTACTTTACACTATTAGTCCTTCCAATTAGTATTATATAACATTAGGAAAGAAATTCATAAATATATTTGAATCAATTTTGTTGTCGTAATGTCGTATATGTGACAACCCGCCCAATTCATTAAAACTAAGCAAGTATTGTCCTCTCAATTAACTCATTTGAAGCTAAACTAAGGAACCACCCAATTTATTTAAAAACTATGTATTAGGAGAACCTCTACTAGCAAATAGACACCAAAAGGGGACTATATATGATTTAAATAATTCCAAAATACCATAATATAGAGCATATTTTTCTATACTAAAACAATTTTTCTATGAATTTATAAGATTGCATTAGATTTTAAGGTTTAATTACGTAACTTTTTTATCTAGATGATTAGACCACCTAAGGAGCAAAAACAACCAATTTCAGTGGTTGCATGAGCCAAAATGTCTGGTTTTC